TATATATATATATATACACACATGCGTGTTTGTGTATTTATATATACATAATAAATATACACAGTACACACACATTTATTATGTAAACAAATGTTTTTGGAAGAGATTAATCATGATTAATTGTTTGACAACACTAAATATGTATTATTTAGCTTGAGATGGTACAACACACACAAACATATATACATACATATACATATGTTAGGACATATGCAATAGAAGTAGTGAATTATTAAAAGGGTATAAATATTTTGGTAATAGAGTTGATGTGCAACCTTGGCCTTTTTAATAATATAAATAAAGAATAAAGACAAAGCGTTTAATAGTTACTACGTTATATGGGTTATTTAAGATATATAATAGATATTAAAATTTACCATGAGCTATTAATTTGTAAAATATTTTAATCAAGGAGGCAAATGTCGCCTGTTTTGTAGAATGAGCCCTAAACATTCGTAAGGCCTATTTTATTTGAAGCATTTGCATAAAATATGGAAAATTCAGTTACATTTAGTTAAAAACCACTAATGTAATTCAAAGTAAATGCAATGCAAAGTAATTGAGTAGAACTCGAAAATCAAAATTCTGTTTTTTTCACATTTTATATAATTTTATTTGTCAAAATGTCCACATAACATTTTAGACTTCCATTTCAGTTTAATGTTTTGAGTGTTTTCTGTCCTTGCAGAGTGTGGTATGAATGTTCACCATAAATGTCAGAGGAAAGTAGCAAACCTTTGTGGCATCAACCAGAAGTTAATGGCAGAGGCCCTGGCTATGATTGAGAGCACTCAACAGGTTGGAAGACACATACATTATGAACCACAGATGCTACGCAGCGTGACACAAGCATGTAACAATTGCCACGCCATTTACTGTTGTTTGGTAAATTTTAGTGGATGAAGTCCAGTCATTTCAATAGGAATCTACATGTCCAGGAATTTTGAGTTAGGGCTAAATATTTCTTCAGGCAGCTTTTGTTGTTTTATGTCAACATTTTGCTAATGTGACCACACATTTAGTTGTCTCTTACAGCTGCAGTTTTAATTTAAGTTAGTTAAACTCTACATGTTAATAGCAAGCTATTTAATAGCACATGGGTTTAATGGCACAAACATTTGAACGTAACTCTATCGCCCCCTTGAGTACTGGAGTTGGTTATGATCTTCATGGCCAGCATTTTCATTAATAGAGATAGTTCCACCAAAAATGAAAATACTGTCATCATTTACTCACCCTCAAGTTGTTCCAAACCTGTGAATTTCTTTCTTCTGCAAAACACAAAAGAAGATATTTTGAAGAATGTGGGTAACCAAACAGTTTTTGGTCCCCATTGACTTCCATAGTGTTTTTCCCATACTATGTAAGTCAGTGGGGACAAGCAACTGTTGGTTACCCACATTCTTCGAAATATTTTCTTTTCTGTTCAACAGAAGAAAGAAAGTCCTATAGATTTGAAACAACATGAGGGTGAGTAAAAGACTGAATTTTCATTTTTTTGGGTGAACTATTTCTTTAACAAGCCACTCCTAGTACACCAACAGTGCAACAGACTCAAGTCAAGCACAGTTTATTCCAATGGAGTTTGTTATTAGCCTGTTGCTAATCTAACAATGCCATGATCTAATAAGCATACAAAATAAATACCACACAAATATTGGGTAAAACAGACTATTTTAAGTAGAATAACAACTTTTGCTTTATATTTTAGTATATAAACGGACGAGTATCTGTTGACACTCGTCCGCCAAGTTGAATGAAAATTTTTACTGAGCGCATCGCAATGCAAAATAAAGCAAAAATGGGAGATATGTACAACGGGACCACAGGCTAGAAATGCTATAGAGTATGTTTTAGAGTATGTTTTTTGTCTAACTCAACATAGTACACAGCTGAACACAATGTGACAAATACTGAATGGCATGAATGACCTGCATTATCATGTGGTGCAGGATGTTTAATCTGATCTATGTGTGCGTTTCTTTCCATAGCAGGCTCGCAGCTCACGGGATAATGAGATTGTTGGTCGAGAGGGTCCAGTGGGCGTAAGTCAGGCAGGGGTCACTAGAGAGCCTTCAGGCCACTTACCAATTTCACCCCTCACGCCTGCACCCCCTCTACCACGCAAAGGTAAATATAACATGCACAAAAACAACATATTCACAATTCTGAATAGATTTGAGTGTCGAACTTGCTACTAACTAAAGATTCATTTGATTTAATCAAATTACTTCAGAAAGAGTCAGTCAGCCACAGAGTTCAGTATTAAGTGCATTGGGACTACATTGGGAGTTGATCATTTCTAGGGTTTTAAGATTGCCAAAATTCTTTCAGAAACATTCCCTCTCTGGAAATGACCAGAATTGAACTTATAAGGAACGAGGTAGTGGATCGAGAGGAAGTGGGCACTGAATTCGCTTCAAAGCTCAAGTAACAGTTGATTCCAGTGGAGTTTTACGTTAGCATGTTGCTAACAATGTCATAAGCACAAAAATTATATAGCACCCAAAAACAATGGGTAAAACATTCCATTTTAATTAGATGGGACTATTTTCTGATGATATTTTACAGTATTAGATGTAACATTCTGTAACATTCTCTGATATAATCCACCATAACTGAGCATTCAGGACTTGCCTTATCTGATAAAGATGTGTGAGGTACGGTCTTACCATTTGGCCAGAATGACTTATGAAGTTTAATTTTACTGTCTACCATTTGGAACAGACTTCGCATCCGAGGCACACTTACGGTGCAAAAAATTTTGCCTTGCTAAGATTTGCTTACATTTTGGATGGATTAATGCGGTCCTGTTCAATCCATTTATGTCCAAATGTTCTTCTATCCTCCCTACAGAGCATCAAGGTATTTCATGGGACACTCCGGCTGAGGGCCGCAGGCCAAGTCTTGAACAGTCTGAACCCCTGTACGCCACCCCACGCAAAGAGCATCACAAATTCAACCTAGATCATTTTACTCTGCATAAGATGCTGGGCAAGGGAAGCTTTGGAAAGGTAGGAATAGTGTATTCAACTCACAGCAAACACATCACAGCAGTGAATTTCCATTTAAACTACAGTATATACTAACTTTTGAAATGGGTCAAACCGATATAAATAACAAATTTTCAGTGAATAACATTTGAAATACTACTGTGAGGATGCCAAACAAGAAATTAAACAATCTTGGCAAAACTTTGCCGTAATGAAACTAAACATGGTAATTGTTTGCAATACTATGACCTGGGCAATTTGGATACATGTTTTTAATAATTTAAGGAACTGGCATAAAATCATAGTTCTGCTATACACAGATTTTTTAAACCTTCAGAATCAGAATCAGAATGAGCTTTACTGCCAGGTATGTTTACACATACGAGGAATTTGTTTTAGTGACAGAAGCTCCACAGTGCAACAGAATGACAGTGACAAGACAGGACGCAGATAATAAAAAGAATAATATATAACTCCCCATTTAAATGAACAAGGTGGTAGCGATCGGACAGGTAGGATCTAAACCATCTTAAAGCCTGCCCTTGAATACCTGTATAGTTTTGTAATCGATCTATGAGTATGTCATGATCTATAGTGTCGAACGCAGCACTAAGATCAAGTAAAACTAGCAATGAGATACAGCCTTGGTCTGACGCAAGAAGCAAGTCATTTGTAATTTTAACAAGTGCAGTTTCTGTGCTCGTTCAAATGTCTCCACTGTCGTTACAGTGCTGTCCATGATGGTGATTGGGGGGAGAGCAGGGGGGTTCCTCCTGAAGTCCACTATCATCTCCACTGTTTTGAGCGTGTTCAGCTCCAGGTTGTTGTGACTGCACCAGACAGCCAGCTCTTTAACCTCCTGTCTGTAAGCAGACTCGTCTCCGTCCTTGATGAGACCGATGACTGTAGTGTCATCTGCAAACTTCAGGAGCTTGACAGAGGGGTCTTTAGAGGTGCAGTCGTTGGTGTAGAGGGAGAAGAGCAGTGGGGAGAGGATGCAACCCTGGGCAGCGCCAGTGCTGAGCGTACGGGTGCTGGATGAGAATTTTCCCAGCTTTACTAGCTGCTGCCTGTCTGTCAGGAAGCTGGTGATCCACTGACAGACGGAGGTGGGCAATGATAGCTGAGTTAGTTTGGACAGGAGGAGGTTTGGGATGATGGTGTTGACAGCCGAGCTGAAATCCACAAACAGGATCCTCACATTAGACCTGGTCTGTCTAGATGTTGCAGGATGTAGTGCAGTCCCATGTTGCTGGTCAGAGCAGGTTTTCAGGCAGACTGGTGTCACACCATCTGGGCTTGGTGCCTTTCTTCTCTTGTTGTTTCTGAAGACCTGACGCACATCATCTTCACTGATCTGAAGTGCAGGAGGGGGCGTGCAGGAGGTGTGAATGGTGTGTTTTCAAACCTGCAATAAAACTCGTTCAGATCGTCTGCCAGTTGCTGATTCTCCACAGTGCTGGGGGATGGTGTCTTGTAATTGGTGACCTTTCCACACTGAAGCAGGGTCACTGGAAAATAATTGGTTCCTTAGCTTTCCAGAATAATTCCTCTTTGCCACTCTGATCTCCTTTTCCAGTGTGTATTTGGCCTGTTTATACAAGACTCTGTCCCCATTCCTGCGAGCATCTTCGAGTTTTGCAGTGAACTATGGTTTGTCATTGTTGTAGGTTAAATGAGTCCTGGTAGGAAAGCACAAGTCTTCCCAGAAACTGATATATGATGTTACAGTCTATGTGAGCTCGTCCAGATCGGTGGCAGCAGCTTCAAAAACACTCCAATCAGTGAGGTCAAAACAAGCTTGTAAATCCTGCTCTGCTTCATTAGTCCATCTTTTTACAGTCCTTAATACAGGTTTAGCTGATTTCAGTTTCTGCCTGTAGGTCGGTATAAGATGAACCAAACAGTGGTCAGAGAGCCCCAAAGCTGCTCGTGGGACAGAGTGATATGCATTCTTTATTGTGGTGTAACAGTGATCCAATATATTGCTGTCTCTGGTGGGGAATGTAACATGCTCTCTGTATTTTGGCAGTTCACGGGAAAGATTTGCTTTATTAAAGTCCCCGAGAATGATTAAAACAGAGTCCGGGTGTTGTTGCTCTATCTCTGTGATCTGATCAGCGAGTTTCTGAAAAGCCAGGCTCACGTGCGCTTGAGCCTGGCTTTGTTTAATGTCTCTTGAAGTCTGTTCATTTGGTGGCTGTATTTGATAACATTCATGGACAGCTGTTATATATGGCATAAATGAATTAGGCAGAGCAAGACAACAGCCTATTAAACTACATTTTGGATCATTCTGGATGCATACTCATGTAATTCTCTATGAATCTTGCATATGTGTTGTAGGTATTGCTGGCTGAGCTGAAAGGCACAGGGCAGTTTTTTGCAGTAAAGGCATTGAAGAAGGATGTAGTTCTGATGGATGATGATGTTGAATGCACTATGGTGGAGAGGAGAGTGCTGTCTCTGGCCTGGGAACACCCCTTTCTCACACACCTCTACTGCACCTTTCAGACCAAGGTAATAGACTCCGACACACTTAGGGATTGGCAGTATGACATATAGGAACATGTCAATCCATATAAATGTTGCTATATATTTGATATGTAACTTTTAACATATGGTTATATGGTTATGGTTAAATTTTTTATTTGTTTGTTTTAATTAAGGTCCTATATTGTGTATTTTATTTAGAATTCATAAATATAAAGTGAATAAACAATAATAATAAACTTGTATTATATTTATAAACTTTTGTTCAAGGCCTATGAATTTAAGTAATGGCCCTGAAATACTACAATATAAGATTTTGGACATTCCGCCCACCCCATGACACACTCTGAGTCACTCTCACATACTGAAGTAATGTGTTTTTTTTTGACTGGTCTGAACTGTTCTGTTTCTGCATTGGTCTCTAAAGGAAAATCTTTTCTTCGTGATGGAGTACTTAAATGGGGGCGACTTAATGTTCCACATCCAGGCCTGCCACAGATTTGACCTCCCACGGTCCACGTGAGACTCATATACAGCCCCCGACAAAAACATTTTAAAAGCTGAGACTCTGCCTACTCTTGTTTTTCACTCTCTTACACCTCCTCTCTTCTCTCTGTCGATAGGTTCTATGCAGCTGAGATCGTTTGTGGGCTGCAGTTTCTACATTCTAAAGGCATTGTGTACAGGTATACACTGATATTACATCAAATATGAGCTAAGAGCGTGCTGATAGACAGCTATTACAATGTTTTCATGTATTTATATGTGTATTATTCCTCCACAGAGATCTTAAGCTGGATAACATTTTGCTAGACATCGATGGTCACATAAAGATTGCAGATTTTGGCATGTGTAAAGAGAACATGTTTGGAGAAGCTAGAACGTGCACCTTCTGTGGAACCCCAGACTACATCGCTCCTGAGGTGAGGATCTCTACCACTTTTACCATAGTTATACTGTATATGTTATTATTAATTGTTTACATGTAAAAAATTATTGCACCAAACAGATGCATATTAAATAAAGCATATAAATGAATACAAATGTACACTGTGTGTTTCACAGATTCTACTTGGGCAGAAATATGGGACTTCTGTAGACTGGTGGTCATTTGGTGTCCTTCTGTATGAGATGTTGATAGGCCAGTCCCCATTTCATGGCCATGAGGAGGAAGAGTTGTTTCAGTCGATTCGCACAGATGACCCGTGCTACCCACGCTGGTTAAGTAGAGACGCAAATGATATTCTTGTAAAGGTATGTCAGAGTTAACATTAAATAGAAGAATGCTTGATTTGTGGGTCTCAGTCTATTATAAACTATAACTGAGTTTTATGAATGGTTACAGCTATTTGTCCGGGAACCAGAGCGAAGGCTGGGTGTGAAAGGAAATATAAGACAGCATGCATTCTTCAGAGACACAGACTGGAACGCACTAGAGAAACGGCAGGTGGAGCCGCCCTTCAGGCCAACAGTGGTAAGTTCATTATTGCTGTAAAAGACTGTTGTTCCGTTCCAAACCTAATGAGCTGCATAGCTAGATAACATTTTAAAGGGGTCATATGATGCGATTTCAAGTTTTCCTTTCTCTTTGGAGTGTTACAAGCTGACATAACTGCACTCCTCATGCATAGGCTGTTTCAAAATGAAAGATTGCATGCATCTTTTGAAAGGAAATCCCAGAATACATTGCGACAGGCTCAGTGAAAAAAATAATAGTTGTAAGAAATTCTGATTATTACTGAAAAAATTAATAAAAAATAGTTTCAACGTACAAAATTTACTTTTTTTTTTACACATATGCCATAAATATGCCATTATATATATATATATATATATATATATATATATATATATTTGTAGTTAATTTATAAAATTATTTAGTTGCTTTCATAGGTCAAAAAGACAGATAAGTAATTTTGTTCCTCATATTTTGTTTTGTTGACTTGGTGAAAAAAGGTTTTAATTCGAAGACGCAACAACATGTATGTCTTTGATTTTAATTAAGCATGATTTTAATTATAGAGTGTTGTTAGAGTATTATTACAATGTTGTGTTTTTAGCTTAGCAACATATGCTTTTTGTGTGGTGAGCAACATTACTGAGAAATGATAAAGATGCTAAACTTTTGAGGTTCAGGTGCTGACTAAGCAGGCAGCTGCCTGTGTAAACAGTAAACGGCAAGGTAGCAGCTCACTAGATTTAGGAAAAGAGTTTACCTGTGACTGACATGCTAACTTTCTGTTTACAGAAATCAGCAGGTGACTGTAGCAACTTCGATAAGGAGTTCATAAATGAGAAGCCTCGACTTTCCGTCACAGACCGTATCATCATCAACAGCGTGGACCAGACCATGTTCAACAACTTCTCCTTCATCAACCCCGCCATGGCCCATCTCAAGAGCCCCTGACTCGCACACAAACAAAGGACATTTGTGCAAATACTGTGAAAACCTCCAAACCAAAAGGCAAACACTCACCTGAACATCATGTCAGTCTCTAGTCAACCTCATTTAATGCTATGGTCAGTAAATAAAAGACACAGTAGTGTCAAATTATGTCATATAATATAAGTTGCATATTGTAATTATTATATTATTTGGTGCCTCCTTGCCTCCTTTTTTGAGGTGCAACACAAAAAAAGCATTTGAACTAGCAAAAGAAGAACGTGTTGGTTTATAAACAAGAAGGTAATATTGAGCAACATATATTATAGACACATTATTGCCTACTTATATTTTTGCTCCGCCACTGTTCTAACAAACTTAAAACAGGTATAAATCACAAGTGTTTTTTCAATCCTTACCCGAAGATACAATATGTAAGTTTTCACCGCTAGAGGGCGCGTATTCAAAACAAACAAAGGCGTAGTTTGATGACGCCATGACTGAGTGTGGAATCATGGGAGTTGTCGTCTTCATCCCCACAGCCGACGCATGGATTGAATCATGTTCATGGATGAGCTAATGTATTAAAGATTTATTAACATCGTAGTATGAAGCAGAGTGAGGCGAAAAGCCGTCTAAGCGAAACGAGGCCGCTGAAGCAATTGCTAATGAGAGACGAGAGTGACACACGGCTCGAAAGCAGCGGAGCTTTTATTATGCCACACTTTAGCGCTTCCGCTCCTTCCGGTCGTGCGTATGTGGGGTAAAGCAGCGCTGTTTTATTATACTAGATACGTTTGAAAGTTCTGTTATTATGCTACTCTGTGCAGTCGTCATCTGTCTAATGAAACGCACAACATATTAAAGCGTCTTTGGTGTTTCCATGTTTTCTACAAAACAAAACCGGAAATCGAGGGGTTATGACGTCATTGGCAGGCAACACAATGACACTATAGACACGCTCCGTGTCACTAGTTAAAATTGCTTATTTTAAGCATTCTTCAAAACATTTGGGATAATGCAAGTACACAAGTCAGCAAAATATATAACACTGTTCTAATGGTTTTTTGATATTTTAATAAAAAAATCTTACATATTGTGCCTTTAATCATTTTTGAATTGAGTTGAAATGAATGAGGCAGGACTTGTCGCCTCCTACTGGTTTAATGATATAACCCTACAGAAAAATCCCCACCACTACTGCTTAAATGTACAGACTGTTAAGGAATGTAGAATTGTAATCCTTTTATTTTGAATGAACAAATGAGCGAAATAAAATGTCTGGAGTATCTGCTGTGTGTTAAAAATGGAAACAGGGCAATGTAGAGATTACATTAAATGGGATTAAATGGGAGAATTAAATAATTGAAAGATTAGAAAAGATTAAAAATTTATTTGCAGGCCAGTTTGGGGGAGATATATATGTATTTGACATTGGCGATGAATTTGATATTTGAATTTGAGCTTAATGTACATCTCATCTTGTGATGGTTTTTTATGGTATTTGTTTGAAAAGTATTATGTTATCAAGATACTTGTGTTTTCTTGTGCATCATGAAAGTCATTACAGAAGATGTATTTATAATGTTTTATTAGAATGGATATGCTGTGGTGTCCAAATCTTTAATAATGTTTTATTGTTTTATTATGTGTTCCACACTGACTTCTAAAGGCCTTTTATAGAGGTGTGTATAGTGGCAAAATATCACACTGTGTAGCAATCTGTAAGTCACTGCTGCTCAGTTAGATTCAGTTATGTTCTTGGGTTGTACAAAGTTATATATGAATTCTTGGAAATTAATGTGAAGTGCACAAGAACTGAATATATTTAGGGAGACAAGTTTATTACAAATTCATGTTTTCTGTACACTCTAAAAAATCCTGGGTTAAATACAACCCAGTGCTGGGTAAAATAGGGACAAACCCAGCAATTGGGTTGTTTTGACCCAGCGGTTGGGTTACTACCCAGAAGGTTGGGTTAAACATTTATTAAACACTGGGTCAAAACAGCCCAATTGCTGGGTTTGTCCCTATTTTACCCAGCACTGGGTTGTATTTAACCAAGCATTTTTTAGTGTATAGTCAGCATTATGATTTCTTTTGAGACATCTAAAAATTATTTCTTATTATATGTGATCTCTTGTCATTTTATTATATGTGTGGTTATTTTACAGTGCATGAAAAATTAAAACCATATTGATGATTAAATTAAACTGTGCTACAACAAAGCCATAAACATCACACTCTAAAAATGCTGGGTTAAATATAACCCAGCGCTAGATTAAAAAGGGACAAACCCAGCTATTGGGTTGTTTTGACCCAGCGGTTGGGTTGTTTTTACCCAACCGCTGGGTCAAAACAACCCAATTGCTGGGTTTGTCCGGGACTAATTTAATTGAGGCACAATTATTTCAGGTAAGTCATAAAGCAGCATTAAGTCATTTAAGTCATTGCATATCACATTTGGTATAACATAACTATGACTTGTGTGAAAACTGCCAAATGTAGCCCTTGTAGCCCTTGAGGTAACAATTCAAGACGACTACATTAAAAACCACAATGGCATCATGAGTCCACTAGAGGTCAGTATTTCCTTCAGAATTAAACAGGAAAGACAAGGAAGTACGAGTACAAATGTTTAGCGCACATGACCACTGAATCATCACGGTCAGGAAAATGACTCGGAGTTCCATATCAGTGTAATGTAACACTGCGATTTTCTGTCCATCCAGCACAAGGACAAAACAGTCCCGAGTTCCTTGAAGTCATTTAAGATCTGCATTTTATTCGTCGCATTGCTTGGTACGATTTATGGAGAGATGGGCATAATATTCACTATGTCCATTGGCTCAGAAACAGATTATAGTCTCGACTGTCTGATTCCCTGACCGGACGGACTAATTTATCTTTCACCTTCAGACAACAAATTTCATCACCTTGAACTCGTATAAACTGCCACACACTTCCTCGTGACATTTCCCCTACACCCTGCATATACACAGACCACTCTATGATGCTCTGCAGGTGTAAGACCATAAATGGCAGTGACTTTCTGTCACGTGCTGTCTGTCTGTTCTCTATTTTCACTTGTCTTCTGAAAGTTAATATTATGTATTATTTGATATTTCTATTGTATGTCTGTTTATGTACGAATGTGCACTTTCAAGCCTTTTCAAAACTGTTTATTAAGGTTGTCCAGCCAAATGCTTTGGGCAAATGCTTGAACTCTGCCCCGCAGCATTCATGCAAACACTGTCACACCCTGCAAATCACCCTTAACCCTGGCATCACATGTATAATGAGTCATCGAGTAATTGACCGATTTCCAAGTAGGCTGATTACTCCGTTTGTATATTCAAAGACTCCATAAACATACACATGCACACATGTAACTCCACTTTGGTCAAGGTTAAAGAATGTAGCAATGTCACTAAAGCTGAAGAATGAGTATTTGAGTATTATGACATTAAGTCACTTAGGAACAAAGTCTATCTATCTATCTCTCTATCTATCCATCTATCTTTAGTTTGAGCTGCTTGATTCAGTGTACGTAGGTTAGCATTCTGGTTGCCATCTAAAAGTGTCACGTACACAGTTTGCATGCGACATTGTCAGTGTTTGCGTGCACCTGTACCTGGACGTAGGCATGCATCTCTCTTTGAGTATGTGCACAACGTGCTTGGCTGACGGGCCAGCATTGAGAGTAAGTTAATCCAGACGGGGCTCAGGGTCAGCGTGCAAAGTAATGAGATCTAAAGCGAACGGGGTCAAGAGCAGACAACAGTATCACACATCCAGCCTAGACACTAGTTTTCCTACGTCTTAAACACTTGAGTCGCCATTAAGGAGTTGAGCACAATTACTTTTATCGTTCACTCATGATTTCTTACATTTGAAAGGCAAATTATTTTATTATGTGAGAAGATGATTATTATGGGAGTATGTGACAAACTGGCATAGGGTGCTGAATGGAATTGCACATTTAGATATGACACCACCTCTTTATTAAGTCGTTATTGTATGGCTGAAATACTGGCCAACAGCCAGTAGCATTACATACAAAATTAGCTCAAGCAACAGCACGAGTTTGTGTATGTACTATCTGTCTGTCTCGGCAATGGTACACTCTAAAAAATGCTGGGTTAAATACAACCCAGTGCTGGGTAAAATAGGGACAAACCCAGCAATTGGGTTGTTTTGACCCAGCGGTTGGGTTACTACCCAGAAGGTTGGGTTAAACATTTATTAAACACTGGGTCAAAACAGCCCAATTGCTGGGTTTGTCCCTATTTTACCCAGCACTGGGTTGTATTTAACCAAGCATTTTTTAGTGTATAGTCAGCATTATGATTTCTTTTGAGACATCTAAAAATTATTTCTTATTATATGTGATCTCTTGTCATTTTATTATATGTGTGGTTATTTTACAGTGCATGAAAAATTAAAACCATATTGATGATTAAATTAAACTGTGCTACAACAAAGCCATAAACATCACACTCTAAAAATGCTGGGTTAAATATAACCCAGCGCTAGATTAAAAAGGGACAAACCCAGCTATTGGGTTGTTTTGACCCAGCGGTTGGGTTGTTTTTACCCAACCGCTGGGTCAAAACAACCCAATAGCTGGGTTTGTCCCTTTTTAACCCAGCATTTTTTAGAGTGCAAAACTTATTTGTTGAGTGGGACCTTTTGGGACTAATTTAATTGAGGCACAATTATTTCAGGTAAGTCATAAAGCAGCATTAAGTCATTTAAAATTTGGCATATCACATTTGGTATAACATAACTATGACTTGTGTGAAAACTGCCAAATGTAGCCCTTGTAAATACATAGGTAACAATTCAAGACGACTACATTAAAAACCACAATGGCATCATGAGTCCACTAGAGGTCAGTATTTCCTTCAGAATTAAACAGGAAAGACAAGGAAGTACGAGTACAAATGTTTAGCGCACATGACCACTGAATCATCACGGTCAGGAAAATGACTCGGAGTTCCATATCAGTGTAATGTAACACTGCGATTTTCTGTCCATCCAGCACAAGGACAAAACAGTCCCGAGTTCCTTGAAGTCATTTAAGATCTGCATTTTATTCGTCGCATTGCTTGGTACGATTTATGGAGAGATGGGCATAATATTCACTATGTCCATTGGCTCAGAAACAGATTATAGTCTCGACTGTCTTGATTCCCTGACCGGACGGACTAATTTATCTTTCACCTTCAGACAACAAATTTCATCACCTTGAACTCGTATAAACTGCCACACACTTCCTCGTGACATTTCCCCTACACCCTGCATATACACAGACCACTCTATGATGCTCTGCAGGTGTAAGACCATAAATGGCAGTGACTTTCTGTCACGTGCTGTCTGTCTGTTCTCTATTTTCACTTGTCTTCTGAAAGTTAATATTATGTATTATTTGATATTTCTATTGTATGT